AAAATTATTTAAAAGTACAAATCATTGTGCCAAATGACAAAGATTATTTGTGTGTTCTATCATATAATATCTAACAATCTTAAATTACGAGAATACGAATTTAAAGCTTGCAATTTTATTTTTACAAAATGTCTCATTTTATAGGAATCATTAATTTGCATATGTAAATGGATAGATTTATATATTCATATGTGGTTTGTATATATATATTTATGTATGCTTCGTGTTCTTCTCACAATAGAAGTTTTATGCAGGCAAATATTGCTTGAAATATTTTAATCCTTTTTTGTTCATGTTCATATCATTCCACGCATATGCATTCTCTACTTCGATCTTTAACTAAATTTTTCGTTAAAGCATGTGTATTTGTTTCTCTAATCAGTCGATAATTTGTTTGTTTTATCTTTTTTTTCTCTCTTTTACCCCTCTTTTTTATCTTCTTACTTTTCTTTTATATATATATACAAATGCAAATATTATAGGTAAGGCAAATAAATCTTATTTATCGTAAAGTTTGTTTCATATATATATCTATACATAATAAAAAAATTCATTTATATTTTTAAATTGAGGAATGTTCATGCAACCGCTCGTGCCTCCGGTAGAAAACTTTCCCAATATTTGATCAGTTGGTTTTGATGTTGTAACATCGCTTCGAGATATTCGATTAATTGTTTCTTAAAGTCTTCCACTCTGACTAATTCGAAACGTTCAACTTCTTTTTTTATCATCTTTGAAATATTATCAAATTCTTCTTGACTTCTCTCCACTTTCGCCTCCCATTCAACAACTTCGGTAGCAGCTTGACTCGTTTTATCGGTTCTACCGGATTGTTCCAATCTAGCCTTTTGTTCCCGTTTTTTGTTCAACATCATTTGAGCATGCTGCCAATTTTGGAATACTTTAACACGTTCGTGAAAAACATCCTGGACAAGAATATTAATATTAATTATTACATTTTATATTTTGTTTTTTCTTTTAATTATTCAACTATTCCCGTATATCTTTGCATTTTTTTTTTATTAAATCCATATGCATTGACCAACCTTAATAGCACCCATAAGCGCGACATAATCTCTTAACATTTCTCCAAATTGATAAAGGTCGCTATTGCTTTGCGCTCTTCTGATTACTTCTACTTTTTCCAAGGTTTCAGCTAATTGTGCTAATGCTCTACCAAGAGAAGCACCTGGCTCCCCATGACCAAGAACTGCAACTGCTCTTGCTGTTGCTCCTGTACAATTGGCAAGTTCCCTTCTTTGATTAGTTAAAGTATCAACAGCAGAGTGTAAAGCACGTAGTTGAGTATCAAGAGATTCAATTTGTGAAGTTTTTTCTTCGAACCACTATAGAAAATAAAATATTATACTAAGTGAATATATATATTATATTAAAAATAATCTTTTTCTATGTTATGATGGTAATATGATTCTCACCGTATCACTTTCATCCATTTTATATGTTATCTTGTTAACGGTTTCTCCAACTTTATTAAAGAGTCTCATTACTCCAGCACCGCTCAAAGCAGATGTATTAGTCGCTTTAGGTAATTCCATATCTAAGAAAAATTTCATTTATAAATTTATGAAGTCATAAAGAAATTCTTGATATATATATATATATATTTATATATATAAAATTATTGTAAAATTATACCAGCTTCCAAAAATTCTCTAAAATCAGGATCTACGCTCAGAACTGGGTGTGCCGCAGTTCTATTTACATATCTTTCGAGAGCAGCTCTACGACGTTCAATGAACTCCGTAGAACTGGAGTTTTGTTCTTGGTTCTTGTCACCAGACATTTTTATTTTTGTTGTACCTAATAATATAATTAATATTTAAATGAATATAATCTAATTCAAAAGAAGTATTAACATGAAGATAAAATAAAAATACCAATAACGCTTTTCTCAGGCGCAGGTGGAATAATTCTACCATTTCTAAGATATTTATCGGTTAATTTATCATGAAGACCAAGAAAATCGCTAAACCTTCTAGTGACGCTAAAATTGCGCTTTCTAAATATTGGCATGTTAGTTCTAGTCTCGACTTTATAGGCCATGTAAGCACCCATGCCATCGCCTATCTTTTGAGGTGAAGTAACTGTGATTTTAAGGAAAACATCAGTCGAATCGCTTGGTACCTATAAAAGAAAAGAAAAGGAAAGAAAAGAAAGTATTAAATAAATCTGTGACTAAAATTAAATTAAAATTTCATATACACCTCTTCGAAGGATTGAGATTTGATAACATTTGTCGACAACGTATCCACATTGTCATTAATAGGAACGTCATGCAGATCTCCAATATCACTGCTCATCGGACCTAATGGCGGACTTAATGGACCTGGTGGTGGACTTGATACAGAAGAAAATGAATTTTCTTCCAACGCATCTCGTAAGGTCAATTTGGGTAACTCTGTTTGTAGTGTTGATACGCCATTGTAAGGGGACGAATCTTCCAATTGACTTTGATCCTAAAAAGGAATATATTAAGACTGTATCAAACAGTCCTAATCTTATATTTTTTCTTGATTAAATTTTATCAATATGCATATACGCATTTACAAATAAAAATAATATTTGCACAATTAACTATTAGATACATTTTCTACAAACTTAGAAATAATGAAACATGAAATCCTTAAAATACAAATTACTAAATATAATTAATTACTGACATTTATTTAATAAACCTATTGATAATAATATAAAGTGAAATAATATATTTGTTAATTTAAAATTTGAATCGATTGAATAATATACAAAAAATTTCAATGACATTAAAAATGAGATTAGAAAATTGATGTTCTTAGTAGAAATTGTAGATAAATTTAAAATGATAAGTCTATAGAATTTGAAAATACCTGTATTGCAGAGGCAAAAACATCGTCGTCATCATCCTCCAAATCGTCGCTTTTAGTTTCATTAGTATCAAATAAAGGCGGAGTGTCTTTAATATCAGCCATCTTAGCGGTTCTGTCAATCTATGATGTCAAGTTGTTATAGGGATCGGCCCCCACTGAACAATTACTACCGACGTCAAATAAACTAGATTCTACAAAGCGTTATCAACTTTACAGAAAGCTGTATTTCTAGATAAACGCGCGCGTGTTACTATCTCTATATAATATATATATGCATATATATATATATATCTTTTATCGGAAGAATATGTCCACACATTCGATACAACTAACATTAATTATATTATCTTTCAATAACAAAAAAATATTCAATTAATAATTAAATCCAAAAAAATTGAAATTAAATATACGATATTAATCAAAATCGATTAGAGAAATCAATAGATTTATTTATTATTTAATTTTATTTAAAAGTATAATGAAACTTACGTTGCTGTTTACGCAAGTTAATGGCGGAAAATTTAAAATAGTTAAAGTTAAGCACAATGTATCAATTTTCTTTTAACTTTCAATATTCATATATTTTAAAGTATATTTATTTTGTATAGATTGTAATATATTATTATATAAATTAAGATATAGTAAAGTATACAAGTGTTGTTTTATTTTGTTAATGATGAATGTAAATAATATTCAGAATTTTTTGATGCTTTGATTCTTATAGAAAACACGACATTGATAGAATATAATTACTTGGTTTAATATTCATATTTATAAATTAGTTAAAAATGCTGCAAATGTCTAGATTAGAAGTTAATGTTAGAAGACTTTTGGGACGTTGTGAATTAATGGCTAAAGATAATTCACAGAAGGATTGGAAACTTGAAAAGGTTATTTTATATTAATTTTCATATTACTAACCTATCTATTATTTTGTTTTCAATGAAAATAATTCTCAGTATACTTGTAAATATTTATTCAAACGTATTATATAAACATGTATTTTTTTTGTTGCAGTACATACTTTCTCTAGATGAAATGATAAAAAAGCTGCAAACCTTACCCGAGTAATTTCATTCCATACTATATAGATTCATATCAAAAAATAATTCATTTTAAAAGATATTGTTAAATAAAAGATAATTTTCTTTTAGCAAGCCTTCGAAAGATGTTTTAACGACGTACATTAAGAGACTTGATTTTTTAAAAGGCATCGTTAACACAGCCAAATTAAATAATCCTGATGAAAGAGTAGTTGCGGTACAAATGTTATCTAAAGCATCCAATGCGAATGATACTCTTGGTCCGAATATAGCAACACAGATACATCAGAAAACTACAGCAAGATATAATCAAGAGTTACGTGCAGAATTATTTCATACCGAGAAGGGTAACAAAAACTATATTATAAGCATGTCTCATATAAAAATAATAAGTGTAAAAAAATACAACATAATAAAGCGAACATATGCATATTCAATTTAAGGATCCTTAGACGATGGAATTCGACATAGATATCCTAGCACTAGTATACAGGATGAAGATTTAGATGTGCTAATGAAATTCAATCGCAACATTCAAGAAAAGATCGCTGAAAATATGCTCTCTATGACAAGCAACATGAAAGAGCATGCTTTGGCAGCAAGTGCTATAATCAAAAAAGATATTGGAACTTTGGAAAAGTCGGATAAATTAACTAATCTTAATACTGAAAAATTAAAAAAGGAATCTTTGAAGTTGGAGGAACATACCAAATCTAATTGGAGATGTTGGGTTTGGTTAATGATCGCATTTGTACTTGTAGTATTTTTTAGTAAGTACAATATTTATTTTTGTTATAACTTTTTAATGAAGCATTTAAGAGCCCATATTTATGTAATATTGTTTTCTTATTTTTACTTACAAAATATGATGGCAAAATTTTACAGAAAAAACTAAGACACCCTATATATCAAAAATATTAACATTTT